AGGCGATACGTTCCTCCGAAACCTCGGTTAACAAAATATCTACACGGCGCCACATCACAGAAGACGGCATTCTTCATAGTCACCGCCGTGAAAACCTCAAATCTTACCAAGTCACCTCTAGACCACCCTCTTTGATCAACAAGAAGATGACGCGATACTTTTAGGTTATATTTCAAAAGAAATGAAAATTTATCCCAGCCTCCTCGTGACCATTCTGACGCCGTGTAGGACTACGAAATGACGATGATAACGGCAGATCTAACAGTATGAATATTACTGGCTAGTTTCTTTATGAATGGATAACCATGACACAATTTTATATGTAGCTCAGTCTACAACGTCTCAGGTGAGTGCTGTGCCGGGCTATCTTAAAGAGAAACTCAAGGCTAGTATGATACCTGCAGTACCAAGTCCTACTACCAATTCTACTAATTTTTCATACATATTTATAATGCCCCGAAAATTGTTTGGAAGTGATCAAACTTTAAATTTTAATTAGTTATAAGTTTGTGCCGATAACTGCGATACTAGTTCGAACCCTGACTAATTCATTTAATGAATAATGTGTGAGGTTCAAGCATAATCAGGGGGTCACAAATACGATCGCTATGCTGCAGCAGCCCCTCCCCACGATGGGGCGGATTCCACAGAAGATAATTGATGTATTCTACTCCCCCATTGGCCCGAGCACCCTCCACCCTTACGTGATTGGCTTTGCCACAAATCGATGCCCGGCGTCGTCCGGGATCACACGTGCGCGGACGCCGCTCGCCCTTTGTTCTCTGATTGGATCAACAGTTAGCGCAAAATATTTGCCGCGTGCAGTCATGGTGACCATGTGTTACATATTGTTCCTACACGTGTGAGAGAAGACTGTTATGTGCACAGACGATTTAGTGGGTTGTGATGAGACATTAATCTGTGCAGCACGTGCCACATTCTTGTACAGTGCAGGAAATCCAACAGGCAGTAATACAACAACCTCAAGGTGCATATGTGAAGGGTTGTTGTGGAAGAAAGTGGTTATCAAGTGAACAGAATAATATTAAATATTTTTGGCAACAGGAAACAACTGAAGAGGCTTCAATTACAGTACAATATATGAAAACACAGTTTTTGACAAAAGAAAAGAATTTACCTGTTGGCCTTTAATGAATTACATCAGTATAAACCCAACCGAACCGATGCCATGACCTGTCCGAACAGTCATACAGAATTAAGAACGATCCAACTGGCTGCTGTATAATTTTGGGTTTACATTATCTAGCTGGATTTTATTTCTTTATTAATGTAAGAATACTTGCGTTATATTTAGTTTCAGAACTGTTATGAAATAACAATGCTGGAAATTCGCCACAAATAAATACAGAAATACCCAGCCTTTATCGCGATATTTAACTAGTAGAGAAAATATATTAATTCTTACGTCATTTCACTTCATTTGCTAATACTTACGTAGCATTTTTGATCTTTATATTTGCAGTGCGTATAAACCACGACGAGTAAAATAGCCAGTAATTTAAGTAATACTTAAGAATTTACGTTTGCTTCAGTTGCCTTTCAGTGTAAGTAACTAGACAGCACAAGCTAGAGTGACAAGAATAGTGACACAGCAGGATTGAACAGCAGAGCTATCGTATGGAAGTATGAAGTCTGTACGTATTTTGAACGTTCTTAGCAGAGGAAAAGCTGAGAACAAGTAAAGGTACTAGAACAGGTCTCAGTTGGTCACCAATTAAAATGGAATTCTTGGGATTAATTACAAGAATGTTCGCAAATTTAATCTCCCATTAAACTAAAAGAAGAGTTCAACAATTCTTTACATAAGGAAAATACCTAAGAACATTTAAGTTAAATTTCCATACGTCATATCAGATTGATATGAAATAGTCAATAAACATCATGCCGAATTCAAATGTACAAATATAAAATTAAATTTCCGAAAATTTTATTAAGGAATTAATGACATACCACCTAAGATTGTTACTGTTAAAAGAAAGTGACAGGAAATGTCGTCCTAAGCTCGAAGAATTTCAAATCGGAGGTCAGTCATACAGAACATAGGACAGCCTGTACACAATCCCTGGTGTAGTCCACTTATATTGACATTCAGAAATTTTCCGCAGATGTTTACTGAATCTCGAGAGAGGGAGTTGTACATGTTCAGATCCCTTTGAAGCTTTTAGCGAGCTGTAAAGTGTCGCCCAAGACGGCCAACGCCATGTTTGGCATGGACAATCTAGACTTGGAAGCCGTTAACAGGCAGTTCCTGCTGGAGGCGCAAGGATACATCGGGGGCGGCGGCGGCGGTGGGGGTGGCAGCGGAGCTAGCAGCACCAACAGCAGTGCCGCCGATCTATACCTCTACGACGACTCGAGTAGCTCCGCTGGATCCACCTACTCTTACGGCAGTGACCAAGAAAACAGTAACGCCACTGCGTCCTCTGCCGCCTCCAGGGGCAGACACCGCCTCCACAGAAGACGGAGCAAGTGTCCGCAACAGCAGGTACGCGGCTGAGTTCAATTTGAAAGTCTTTTACCTTAGCACATGATGAGGGAGCAAGCCAAACGACAATCAAAAATTCATAAAACTATGTACAAGAAGCGCAATCACGTGTTTCGGAATTTTCCAAAATCTCGGAATCACCATTCAAGAAAAGCAAAACAAATTTTATGTTGCGAAACATATTAAAACCACAAATTCTTCTTATCATGGCACCGTATTTATATCAATGTAAAATTTAAAATATAAAATTCTAAATAAAATATTACGCTTCGACTCTGAGTAAAAAACAGAAAGAGAAGCATACTCGAGAGGTTCCGGGAGACGGAGCCGAATTCTGCGAAGTCGTTTTTAAATTATTTCCAAATATAATTTTCAATAACGCGTAAAATTTATAGCAATATTTCTGACAGTTTAATTTGTGGAGTTAAGTATTTAGAATTTGATGTGGCAATATGTCACAAATATACCTATATATCTACCAATCTTCTTATGAATATTAATATTACACAGGCCGCCGAAACCTAATTTAACAGCGCAGTAAACTGGAGTTACATCCGACATCTGGTACGCAATAAAAGTCTCTACCAGTAGATATGTATGATTCGAGTCTTTCGTGTCGGTGTTTATGAAGAGTTCTGTCTTCTGGGATATAATGCCGTGTAACAGTTGTTCCTGTGCTTAACTAATTACGCACTATGCCATGAAGGCGTATGGGGGAGTGGGTGTATAGATCCACTTTTTCTTGACCTCGACACTACCTGCAGATGAGTGGTCAGCTTCACGCCCCTGCTGCTTTACCCCCGGGGAATGAGCCCCAGGTACCCATTTGACAGGAGACTGGATGAGCCGGTCTGGACGACGTGGATAAGAGAAAATTATTGACCCTACAGGGACTCGAACTCCGACCTTTCATTCGTCCATCCCGTAATTAGTCGCTATACCGACTGCGCTATTTCAATGCTGTGTAGTCCATTGAAAGCTGACCTGCTTCACATTGGTTTCTTGCTTGGTTTATTCGACACTGAAGATCGGAGGCGACATGTTCTTCTGAAACGTCGGTTGAATTTCAACGAACCACCTATCCCAGAAGATATATCTCCTCTACCGGCTGTTGGTTTGTAATTTCGTCTGACACTTCTTTTTGCACGAACAACTGAAAGTCGTAAGTTCTTGCAGAACTTCTCGTGTCTCCGTTAGAGCCAGTAAGGCGTATAGTGACAACAGTTGTAACACAGGCTACACACATGGAAGCGTTTAGGCCTGTAGCAATTCAGAACGACATGTGCCAACAGGTGCAACAACGTCAGGCCGCCAATCTGAGGGAGCGGAAACGGATGCAGAGCATCAACGACGCCTTCGAGGGGCTACGCTCACACATACCAACACTCCCATACGAGAAGCGTCTTTCCAAGGTGGACACACTGAAGCTTGCAATCGGCTACATAAACTTCTTAAGCGACATAGTGACCAGCGACCGCAACGCGTCTCAGGGAGTCGGTGGGACGCAGGGATCGCATGGCATCCACCAACCGCCCCGCGAGGAGCCTAAGAAAATCATCCTCAGAGGTGAGCTCCCTTTTACAAGCAACTGGTAACCGGTACTGCCTTAGAGGAGACAGATGCTTGCTCGATTCCCATTGCAAAATGCGATCCTGACAATTCGGTTCGTAGTCCGCCAATTTAATGTCAAAACTATCAGAACCGAAGCAGCCCACTAATGGAATTATTATTATTATTAGTAGTAGTAGTGGTAGCAGCGGTGGTAGTGTATGTAATAGTGATGGTGGTAGTGGTAGGAGTAGTAATATTTGTGGTAGTAGCAGTAGCGGTAGTGGTGGTAGTAGTAGTATTAGTAATAATAGTGGTGGTAGTAGCAGTAGCAGTAGTGGTGGTGGTAGTGGTAGTAGCAGTAGCAGCAGTAGTAGTAGTTCTAAGTTTTATAACGAAGGTCCAGTATGGAAGGGCTTAAACACTTACGTGTTTTCATTCTGAGATCAATGATGAACGCATTACGTGTCTATAATAACCTACGAGCTTCATTTCCTGGAATATATACTTGAGAATTGCAGAGAATTACTCCGAGATTTACTAGTTATTCATGATTATCAGATATTCCACTATAGCAATAACATTAAAACAAATATTGTACAGATACACAATTCTGCTGCTGCTTGTAGTATCAATCCAGTATATCAAGCCACTAAACACAAAACAGTAGGGAAGTACATTGCAACCAGTTATAATATAATGGCTATGCGAGTTCCTAAAATTTTAGAAGACAAAAATCTCTCGATAGCCATAAGTCAGTGCCCATCTATAACCAACTACGGCAAGCGAACAGAAGAACAGATATATAGAACATAGGCTGTAGCTTTAATTGTGTCTCCTCACCTGCAAATTCATTTGAGTGGAGCGAACCAGAAGTGATCAGTGGCGCGTGGAACACTTCCGGTGTGGTCAGAGGTCACGTGACAGTTCATTAATTGGTCGCGTTTTTACACAACACGTGGCGTGTTATTAGCTGTCTCCATTTGTTATAATGACTGCTCATCTGTAGTGAATTACACCAGAGTTTCTACTGCGTGAGCCCTTCTGAAATACACAACGAAATCTAAATACTATATCCTACGTGTAGGCGTGGTCCACATGAACGCTACTAATTAGACCTGTGCTTCGAGTGTCACGGTTTAGATCCTATGGCTTATTTCGATTCAAATTTATAGAAATACTAAATTTTTAAATAATGATAAGACCCTGCCATTGTAAGGCCTCTCTGATTTTTTTAAATTCGCTTAGTGGGGCTGGAGTCCAACTGGGTCCACTCGGCACGGCGGCCACTGATTGGCCTATTGTAGCCTGCCCCGGGTGATTATGATGATGGAGAATTCGGTGGAATGAAGATTGGCAGGGGAAACCGAAGTACTTGGAGAAAACCGCCCCAGCGCCACTTTGTCCACCACAAATCCCACTTCATCAGACCCGGGATCGAACCCGGGCCGCCGCAGTGGGAAGCCAGCAACAAACCGCTTGAGCTATGGCGCGGCCTTAAAGTCTCTCTGATTGGTATCTGCATCAGAGGCAAATGCGGGCGTACATGTCCTTAGCGGTGCTCGTAGCCGCGAACCCAGATCCCAGGAGCCCAAGAGAGTACGTGCCGTAGACCACGTGGTCACGGTCCTGTTGATACTTTATGATAAAGAGTTATCCTGTAATTCACGCCCTACAAACTTATAGAACGTACCGAAAATTCAAACCAACTGTTTATTTGGATCTTTGGTTCGACAATTTTAAAATTTTGAAGTTCATAGATTGCCATAAGGTAGCCCCTTTCATAGACTGCATAGAATACATATTTATATTTTTTATAGTATTTCAAACTGCGTCCTAAATTTTGATTTACAGCACAGATTAATTATGACACATATCATGTTGGTAATTAATCGGGGATCATAGTAAGCAGCTTTGTATATAATTGATCATCAGTTCATGCAACGAACTATGCCCTTTCTACGCAGTTCTAATCAGATTAGAGAGTTAGTGCGCCGTAATGCTGACACTGATGCTGTTAGCAACTGGTAGCCTACGATACAAGACGGCCCAGGAGATGAGATCTGGAGGAAATGATATGAAGGCACATATTTCCTTGTCTATGTAATGAAGGCATTTTGCTAGGGAAATGTGTAATATGAAAGACCTCTATCAGGATAGTTAATTTTCTGGTTGACATTAGGTAAATGTACCTCATAGAAGCAAGAGATGCCTATAGGGCACAGGCCATAGTTTACGTAAATATATGTTATGTATCTTTGTTCAACACTTAATGAGCATTTAAAAAGGAAAAGCTATCCCTGTAACAGGCCATGGAAGTCCATAGGGTTGCGAGACGTCGAGGTTCCCACATTTTCTGTTAGAGGCTGAGTCTACCCCCAGGACCATAGTGCGGCTGGAAGGATTAGGTAAATTGAAAATATCCAATGACCTTATCGGGCTACGAACTCGCGACCTCCCAGCTTGTAGCATTGTGCCTCAACCAACTACGCTACCGCGTGTCCCCAAATAAATATGTAGATAGTGTAAATAAACGTAGGTAACAGCAGATCCTCCGGTGTTACAAGTTTATTCCCTAGAACCCCCGCCACAGGAGAACCGGAAAAGCTACCGACAGCGATATGTGGATCTAAGATTCGACTAAGAGCCCTGAACTCCGAGTCAATTCCGGGTCTATAAGAAGGTATTGGTTTCCAGCGAACCCCAAGGCGTGCAGCAAGTGATAGCAATTCGGGTAGGAAAACAGACCACACCTTAAGAGTGGTGTTAGCGATGTGATAGTGACCACTTCACAGCAGTGCAGATACACGTAACGCTGAGGAGCTCAGCTTATCTACTCATAGGGACTGTTTGCCTACACATGTGAATACAGATTAGATATTTTGACACCTGAACACGTGGTGACTTTTCAATAAAGATCTCCATCAACGACTGACATCTTAATCAAATAAAGAGTACGTTTATTTTTTTCCTTCTTACACATAAAAATCATCACATGACAATTTTTTTTATATTTATAGTTATTGACAATCTGAAATATACATTTCTTTAAGCCAGTGTGCTGACTAGTGTGCAGATTTATAGCTTAATTAATGCACACCTTACACGACGTGAGTGGGCGACATCCATCGATGTTCACCTCATAGCCATAGGTCTTGCGGTGATTNTTTGTCACCATGGCATGGCGTGTCCTCAAGTTGCGAATGTTAGGTATGTCCCTTGTCACCATGGCATGGCGCGTCCTCAGGTTGCAGATGTTAGGTGGGTCCCTTGTCACCATGGCATGGCGTGTCCTCAAGTTGCGAATGTTANATTCTTTAAATATTCTTGGGGTAAAGTGCGGCCGGCGCGTAGGGCTGTCAACCTTACCGCCATCTAAGAGCCGATTGTCTAGAGAATGTGGGAACCTCAACATCTCACAATCCTATGGGCCACCTAGGCCTGATACAGGGATACCTTTACCTACTTACTTCATTTTTATGACAAACTAAAATTTTATTGTTTAATAAAAATCAACAATAGCGATGATATTTCCCTGCGTTATGTGATTAGTACTTGAAAAGTACGGTATTGCTATTCGTGATATATTTGCATTAGGACGACAAAAGAAGCAAGGAATTGTACAAATCGGCAAATGGTTCTTTATAGATATTCTTNTTTGGGGCTAGCAACTCCTCATCGTAAAAATAAGTTTGTTACGAAATGTCACAAAGGGCCTTGAACCTGGACGGATTTCTTTTATAAATGACATAAGCGAAAGCAAATGGACATGACACCTGTTATGTGAAATGTAAGAAGTCTGTATAGGGCAGGTTCTCTCAATACAGTTGCGAACGTAGTATCATAATATAAGCTAGATTTAGTGGGAGTACAGGAGGTCAGATGGAACAGAGGTGGCACCGAACCAGCAGGCGGATATGCATTATTCTGTGGTAAGGGGGGCGAGACCCGTGAATTAGGTACAGAGGTACAGATTTTTTCGTATATAAGAAAATCATATCAGCATTTTGAGGGGAGAGTTTGTTAGTGATAGGATAGGTAATTACCGCGNACATGTACGGCAGTTTGTGTATTTTATGTTTCTAGCCCACCTTCCACTTTAGAGCACGTTTATTTCAGAAGCACATATCGACTTATGGTATTGTTGTACCCATGGGAGTCCCCAGATCACAACTTTGAAGGAACGGATATTCATGGAACTTGGTAGAGCTACTAGATTCCCTCAAAACTATGTTCTCCTATTTCTTATTCTCCACGTTAGGTGGGTCCCTTGCCACCACGGCATGGCGCGTCCTCAGGTTGCGTATATTACGTGGGTCCCTTGTCACCACGGCATGGCGCGTCCTCAGGTTGCAGATGTTAGGTGGGTCCCTTGTCACCACGGCATGGCGCGTCCTCAGGTTACGGTTGGAAGAGACGGCCTCCGGATACAGAGAAGTAGTTGCGAATATACTGAATAAGCAGTCGCGGACAGCAGACAAGCGGTTGTCCTCCAGGTTGGGGGTTGGGCCTGGAGTTAGCAACTTCTCATCGTAAAAATAAGTTTGTTACGAAATGTCACAAAGGGCCTTGAACCTGGACGGTTTTCTTTTTTGATAAACGACATAAGCGAAAGCAAATGGACATGACATCTGTTATGTGGAATATAAGAAGTCTGTATAGGGCAGGTTCTCTCAATACAGTTGCGAAAGTAGTATCATAATATAAGCTAGATTTAGTGGGACTACAGGAGGTCAGATGGAACAGAGGTGGCACCGAACCAGCAGGCGGATATGCATTATTCTGTGGTAAGGGGGGGCGAGACTCATGAATTAGGTACAGAGGTACAGATTTTTTCGTATATAAGATAATCATATCAGCATCTTAGAGGGGAGAATTTGTTAGTGATAGGATAGGTAATTACCGCGGAATATCATTGCTATCAATTTCATAAAACAAGTTATCCAATACCCTTCTCTCAAGGTTAAGTTCATATATAGATGAAATTATTTGGGATCATCAGTGTGGGTTTCGTCGTAAAAGACCAACTACTTATCAAATTTTTTGCATTATCAGATACTGGAGAAAAAATGGGAGTACAATGAGACAGTACATCAGCTATTCGTAGACTTTAGGAAGGAAATATTGTACAATACTCCCATAGAGCCTGGGGTACCCACGAAATTAGTTAAGCTGATTAAAATGTGTTTAAACGAAACGTATAGTGAAGTNGGAACGGATATTCATGGAACTTGGTAGAGCTACTAGATTCCCTCAAAACTATGTTCTCCTATTTCTTATTCTCCACGTTAGGTAGGTCCCTTGCCACCACGGCATGGCGCGTCCTCAGGTTGCAGATGTTAGGTGGGTCCCTTGTCACCACGGCATGGCGCGTCCTCAGGTTGCAGATGTTAGGTGGGTCCCTTGTCACCACGGCATGGCGCGTCCTCAGGTTACGGTTGGAAGAGACGGCCTCCGGATACAGAGAAGTAGTTGCGAATATACTGAATAAGCAGTCGCGGACAGCAGACAAGCGGTTGTCCTCCAGGTTGGGGGTTGGGCCTGGAGTTAGCAACTTCTCATCGTAAAAATAAGTTTGTTACGAAATGTCACAAAGGGCCTTGAACCTGGACGGTTTTCTTTTTTGATAAACGACATAAGCGAAAGCAAATGGACATGACATCTGTTATGTGGAATATAAGAAGTCTGTATAGGGCAGGTTCTCTCAATACAGTTGCGAAAGTAGTATCATAATATAAGCTAGATTTAGTGGGACTACAGGAGGTCAGATGGAACAGAGGTGGCACCGAACCAGCAGGCGGATATGCATTATTCTGTGGTAAGGGGGGGCGAGACTCATGAATTAGGTACAGAGGTACAGATTTTTTCGTATATAAGATAATCATATCAGCATCTTAGAGGGGAGAATTTGTTAGTGATAGGATAGGTAATTACCGCGGAATATCATTGCTATCAATTTCATAAAACAAGTTATCCAATACCCTTCTCTCAAGGTTAAGTTCATATATAGATGAAATTATTTGGGATCATCAGTGTGGGTTTCGTCGTAAAAGACCAACTACTTATCAAATTTTTTGCATTATCAGATACTGGAGAAAAAATGGGAGTACAATGAGACAGTACATCAGCTATTCGTAGACTTTAGGAAGGAAATATTGTACAATACTCCCATAGAGCCTGGGGTACCCACGAAATTAGTTAAGCTGATTAAAATGTGTTTAAACGAAACGTATAGTGAAGTCCGTAAAGGTAATCATTTGTCTGATAATTCTCCTGTCCAATATGGTGTAAAAGAAGGAGATATTTTATCGCCACTGCTTTTCAGATTTGCTTTGGAATATGTCACTAGGAAGGTCCAGGAAAACTAGGTTGGAACGAAGTTAAACGGGACATATCATTTGCTGGTCTATGCTGATGATGTGAATTTACTGGGTGATAACATATATACCATAAAGAAAACACAGAAACTTTAATTGTCATGGTTAGTCTAGAAGTAAACACAGAGAAAACTATGCATATGTTGCTGTCCCGTCGCCAGAATAGAAGGCAAAATCATGACACAAAAGATTTGTAACAGATGTTTGATAATGTTGCACAGTTCAGATATTTGGGAACGACAGCAACAAATCAAATTTGATTCAGGAATAAATTAAGAGGAGATTGAATTCGGGTAATTCACTCTCTTCTCGCCGGTGTGCATGTACATTTACTTTATTTAGAATATCAACATTGCTACCGTTCAGTCCAGAACCTTTTGTCCTCTCGTCTGTTGTCTAAAAACTAAAAAAATTGAATACACAGAACTATAATTTTGCCTTTGGTTCTGTACGGGTTTCAAATTTGGTAACTGAAATTGAGGGAGGAATATAGACTGAGGGTGCTGAGGAGAATATTTTGAGAGAAAAGACACCAAGTAACGGGAGGCTGGAAAAAAAATTCATAGTGAAGAGCTTCATAACTTTTACTCTTCTCCAAGTATAATTAGAATGATCAAGTCAAGGAGGATGAGATGGGCATGGCATATAGCCCGAATGGTGAAGAAGAGGCAAGCACATAGGATATTCTGTTTGGTAACAGTTCATAGAATAACATGTAACTTTTTAAATAAACCATTTTATGTGCACTAAAATTACTACAATGAACCCGTCAAGTATATACATTAAATTTCAGACCTGTAATGAAGTCACCACCGAAGGTTTGTGCATGTGTAAAATATAATAAAAACAGAGATAATAAGTGTCGATAGAAAATTTGCATGAATACTCTTTACAGTCTGTACCTCAGAATCATAACGGCTGATATTCATGTAAGTATACCATCTCCTCTGATATTATCAGCAATAAATCATGGATATGACGGGGAATCTTAAAGTTGTGTCTGGCAGATTTAAGGGAGTCAGAGTATGTACTTGTAGAAAGGAAAGTGATGTAGAGAAATGGATCAGCGTTTTCTTAAATGTTAATTTAGAGTTCTTCCTAGTTCCAACACACAAGCACACACACACATATACTATATTACTTACTTACTTAATGATGGAGCTGAGCCCTTTTTGAGGAGCCGCCAATTCTGCAGCTACTCAAGAATTTCCCAGCATTTTATGGAACC